AGGCAGATGTACTGAAATACACTGCTGAGGGGAGCAGCCGGCGGGCCAGGAGAGGTCTGCTGGACATGTGGCCATGTGGCCGGGGATCGAACTCGTGCCGAAGTGGCTGGGCTAGCTTTATCCACTGCGCCACCAGGGAGGGCCGGTGAGGTCTGTCTTTAGGCTGCAATTCACTTACTCTCACAAGACTTACTCAGTTCTGTTTGGCTTTGGAAGGTGCCATGTGGTTAGTTCAGTGCCTGGTCTATACCTCCACAGCAGTTGTTCAGATCAGTGCAAAAATGAGTTTGGCCTCTGAGCTCTCACCATGAAGGTCTCCCTCAATGGAGCCCACTACCTGCAGGAGGGGGTGATGGGTTCAGGTGGGCAGGTGCGCTGCGCAGGTGTGACTGTGTGAAGCGGCACCGTTCACTTCAGAGGCTGGTGCATTTGCGTATTTACAATGACAGTTATCCAACAGATGGCAGTACAGTGTCTTGAGGGAAGGACGCCTTTTTCTGAATTGCACTAAGTTACGTTATGGGCTTAATAGGCATCTCTGAGGTTCCAGGGAAAACTTTTGGGCTAAATAGGCATCTCTGAGGAAAGGCGAGGGAGAAATAAGTTCCAGGGAAAACTTTTTTTTTTCCCAAAGATTTATTTATTTATGCTTACAGAACTGGGGTTCAGGCCAGAGGTGTTGTGGGTGAGAGGATTCACCAGAGACAGAGTGGGGAGCAGAACAGGCAGACTGACAAAGTATACTGCTGAGGGGAGCCGCGGGCTGCCTCTCCGTGTGTGTGGTTCAGCTCCCTGGCCGGGGATCAGACTCATTGCGCAGGGGCTGCAGATTGCTTCATAGAGTGGTGCTTTAACCCAGGGAAAATTTCTAACAGATTGCATGCCAGTGGGCAAAGCCCAGGCCAGCTCAGGGCTGGTGGGCAGCATTTCCTGTGTCCTCCACGACATCCTGTTTCTCCCTGTGTTGTTCAGGAGGGTGCTGACCACCAGGCTGTCCTCCAACGTGACCATCTCCTCTCTTCCCACTTCTGCCTTGAGTGCTCTCTGCGGTGAGCTGACCACGAGCTGACCACAGTGCCCGAGGTTGCAAAACTGCTGTGGACACCTGTCCCCACATTTTGGGAACCCGAGACGGGGCCTCCTTCTCCACTAGACTTACAGATGCAAGGACAGCCCAGGGGCTCAGCACTGTGGGAAGCTGGCCCGGCCTGTCCACATGGGCCCAGGGTGCTGCTTTCTCATCACCTCCGCCCGACAGGGAAAGGGCAGTGGCTTCTCCCTCTGAGAATGCGCCGCCGTTATCCTGCACCTGGCCGCCGACCGCCCCACACGAAGGCTCTGCTCCCACTTCACATCACACGGAACAGCGCCCAAGCACGCAGTGGCTGTTCGGGTGTCTGGCTACAGCCTGAAGGCCAGACCCAAACAGCCACCTGTTTGGGGAGTACATGTCAAGGATGGAAAAGAAATCAAATGAAGAATGCGATTTCATGGCACAGAAAAGTCATAACAACTTCAAATGTCTGTGCCTATAATGTTTGATTGGAACACAGTGAAAGCTTTATGGGAAGGAATTCTTCTGTCATGTAGTTTCAGTCAGTGTTGTGTATGGTTCTCTGTAGTGATGCAAGGGCAGGATGAGTTGTTGGGACTGAGACCAAGTGACCTGCAGGGCCTGATATATTTACTCTCTGCCACTTATAGAAAAACTTTGTTGGACTCTGGCATAGAGCATGAGGCCATCAAGTCTTCAGGGAAGAGCCTGGGATTCAGAGGTGGTGGGAGTATTGGCTTTGAGCCCCTCTTGAATCATTTAGCAGCCGTGTGCCCTTGAGCAAACCACCTTGTCCTCTGGGCCTCGGCTTCCTTACCTGTCAATGAGAATATGAACAGCATCTACCCTGCCTGTATCTGTGGCCTTTGTCTGGGTCAGATGTCATTAAGGACATGTAAGTGGGGCCCTCCCTGGTGGCACAGTGGGCTAAAGCACAGCACTGTGAAGCTAAAGCCACTTCAGCATGAGTTTAATCCCCGCTTGCCCCGGAGGTGACCACATGGCGCAGCAGACCTCTCCTGGCCCGCCTGCTGCTCCACTCAGTAGTGTGCTTCAAAGATCTGCCTGTCCTTTCTCCACTCTGTCCCTGGTGAAGCCTCTCACTGCCCCTGCACCTCTGGCCTGTACCCCAGTTCTGTATGCATCAATAAATCTTAAAAAAAAAAAGAAAAAGAAAAAGAAAAAAAAGGACGTGCAATGACATGTGAACGGCAAGGCCCCGAGTCTGGCATTACAGGTGTCTGTGTTTTTCCAGACACCTGTTGGGGCTATGCCATTTGTTTCTACTTAAAGCCTACATAAGTGCTGTTTTTGCTCACTGAAGGAAATCAGAAAAGGACTTTCACTTTTATGACAATGCAAACAGCGACAACAGTCTCAGCCTCTGGCCCTGCTGTAAAGGCAGGCTGCACCTTAGCCAGCAAGAGTAGCCTTGCCACACTTCTCCCAGGAGCGACTTTAGCTAGACTGTGTATTTATCCTATCACCCCTGCGTTCCCTATACGTGAGTGTCATTTGAGGGTTGATGCAATATTTGGTATCATCTGGTAGGTACTTCTGGGCCTGTGCAAACAATTTTCCTTATAAGCAAATGGCAGTGGCTCCTTTCCTGCACATCGTTTTGACTCACAAAGTTTCATAGTAATAAAGCCGACTTTCCCTAGCAGGAGAAACCTGTATTTTGCCCCGGAAAGAAAACAATCTCAAGGCTTTTTCCACAGCGCTGACATCCTTTTCAACCCTTCCCCCTCCCCCTTTCCACCCTCGCCCTCTCTCCCTCTGGCTGGGGAAACCAGGGATTTACTGAACCAGGGCCTTTTTCTCTGGCTGGTTCCTGTTTCAAGGCGGAAAGCCTCATTTTATACTGAATTGTCACTGAATAGCTGTCCCCTGCAGATCTGGGTGAGTTCATCATATAAAAACTGGAATTATAAACTTGAACTCATTGGAATCCTGATCACAGAAAATTGGGGGGCTCTAACCAGAAGACTTGAGCACCACACCAACAGTCTGCCATCCACGAGAGAATCAAGCCTGGCTTTTTGTTCAGCCTGTTCTTTCATCAATAAATGCACTTAATCACAGTTTAGGCTTGGTGCTGGGCCCTAGGCCTTGTTTGGAAAGTGGTAAGTCAACCAGTGCAAGGTTCTGGTTGAAGAGGAAATGTGGCGAGGAGGTAGAACGGTCATATAAGGAGCCTCATAGTCCCGCCACAGGCCATCTCAGTAAGGTGAGCCCCCAGCCCACTGCTGCTCAGGCCCCTCCTCGGTGTGCTTGAAGTCACCTGGCACAGGTGTCCTGTGCTCCACCTCTGGGCCCCGCCTTGCCATAGAAAGTTCTGCAGAGGTTATAGGACAGCCCGCTTTTGTTCCAGAATCAACTTCCTCCTGCGCCCTGTTTGCTTGACTTCCTGATCCCTGGGCTTGGGCCCCTTGTCTGCCTCAGCCAGAAAGGCCAGGCGCTCCTTCTCACCTCAGCTCTCTCCAGTCTCTTGCTATCCAGCTTGTCTCCCACATTTTTTTACTTCTGCTCTGCTGCTCTGCTTGGGGGTGACTGGGCTTTTCCCCAAGGACAAGGATTCTGTGTGTTTTTAAAGTCCCGTGCGTGCTCCTGCCTCCAGGCCTCAGCTGCATGAAACTTGGGGACCTCCCCCACCTTCTGAGATGCTCTCTTGGTCTCCTGGCTTCCCTTACAGTCACTTTTCCTGGAATGGGAGCTAGAGAAGACCCCAGGGTCTTCACTTACACTCACCCCTGTCACCCCCTCTGTAGCCCCTGGGGGTGGATCCAACAGGGCACGGTGCAGTGACTGCTGAGCGTCTCAGGCAGGGATGGGACCCTCACTTCCCCCCAGAGTACCCACTCCTTTATTGAAAGGTGTTAGCTACTGGGGAATGTTTCTTTTTCCTTTTTTTTTTTTTTAAAGATTTATTTATTTATTCATATAGAACTGGGGTACAGGCCAGAGATGCGGAGGGTGAGAGGATTCACCAGAGACAGAGTGGGGAGCAGAACAGGCAGATTGACGAAGTACACTGCTGAGGGGAGCAGCGGGCAGGTCAGGAGAGGTTTGCCGCGCCATGTGGTCACCTCCGGGGCAGGCCGGGATCGAACTCATGCGGAAGCGGTTTTAGATTCTCAGTGCTGTGCTTTAACCCGCTGCGCCACCAGGGAGGGCCGGAATGTTTCTTTTGATGATCTAACTACCTTCCTACAGCGGCAGCAGCCATGCTGCTTGACCCCACCAAGGCAGGCTCCAACTGGGGAACTTGGGCAAAGCTCATCTGTTGTCAAGTTCACTCTGAGCTGCATGCCTTTGCATGGCCTTGAGGGCATGGCCAAGGCAGAGGCATTTGGGAGAGAACGGCTTTCCAGTGACTGCAGGGCCGATGCAGACACAGGTCTTTAAGTGAGGTGACCCTGCAGCAGGCCTTGGCTGGATACTACTGGTGCTGTGGTCTTTGCATTGCTCATGGCCTTGACCATTTACATATAAATTTGATTTCCTTCTGCAGAATCCATTTCCCCCTGAATTTTCACACTAATGAAGTATAGAGAATACTAGGAAGACAGAGTAGATGCAGGCGGCATTTCAATATCCAGGAGAGAAAGGCTGGTGGGTTGGCTCAGGGTGGCACGTTGGATGTGGGCTGATTCCTGCTTTTGACTTCGGATTTATAGCCGGCATTCAGCGTAGCAATGAATATTTGACTTTTGTATTTTCCCTCAGTTTTATTGAGATAAAATTGACATACAGCATCGTGTAAGATGAAGGTGTATCACGTAGAGCCAGTGCCATGTGACTTTTTCTCGTTCTGTTATTGACAGTGGTGGTGACAATTCATGCATTACTGGGGGAAGGGTGGAGGGCACCATAGCTGCTTCGAGACCTGTGTTATTCTCTCCTCAGGATCCTAGTGAGCAGATTTCTCTGTCCCTGTTACCAGGTAACAAGTATGAAGTCAAGGTGTACACTGGTGATGTCATTGGCGCAGGGACAGATGCCGACGTTGTCATCAACATCTTTGGAGAGTATGGAGACACAGGTAATTGGCTGAAAATTATTTCTTCACAAGCTACTCTGGAACTGCTTTTCAGGTGGCTTCTTTCTGTCCTCCTGGTAGAGGAAGGCAGTTCAGCTCCCCTCTAGGCAACCCTGATGAGCCCTTCTGCATTTCTTGTGATATGGTTTATAGCCCCTTTGGGCAACAAAGCAACCATAGGGTGAAATTTGAGTGTGTGATGTCATTTTCAGAATAAGGCGTGTTTGGTTTGGTTGATTCAAAATTGTCCTGAATCCTCACCTGTGAACAGACCTAAGCTCCATATCTCTAGGGAATTCATTCTCAGTTACTCTCTTTATCTCCCTAAACTCTAGGCCCACTTTGCATTGTATTTTGGGATGTGGCAGGGCACGGCCTGATTCAGTGTAAGAGTTTGTGGCAGAGCAGAATGAGGCCGGGGACAGAATTAGACTTGGCCTCATAGGTGGGCAGGAACCGAGGGTACAGGCAGCTGCAGGTGTTGAGAGGTCATTCAGGCCGACAGAACAGAGACAGGTGGTTCTCTTCTGCTCCTGCCAATTTAGTGGAATTATATAGGAGTCAGAAAAGCTACAGAGATGTGTGAATTTTGGATACAATATATGAAAGAATTCAAAATGCATTGCTGCGCTTATATGGAAAAAAGAGAAATCTCTAGGTGACAGAAATGAAGAGAACTCAAAACTGAAGAATCGACTATGAAGTGATGCCAGGGCATCATCTCTCTTGAAGGAGAGAGCTTTCATGTTCAAAAATCTACAGGATTGGTTTTCATACCCATTTGGGGTCAGAGAATCAGACCTTGACCCTACATGAAGCAACATATTCAAAATTAAAGCAGCACAGAAAGTCAGAGCCCTGAAGTTTCATAGGAATCTTCAGTGAGAAAAAAAAAAAAAGACCAGAAAACTTTGCTTATCAGTACAGTAAACATCTCTAAATTAGCTTTAGATTATGAAGGCATAACTACATGAGCTTTACATGAGAAAAATGGTTGCTGAGAAATTGATACCTTACTTTTCTGTATAAATGTGGGTTTGAGATATGATTTTACACTGCAAATATTTGGAGAATCCCCTCCCTTAAGTATAGAGAATTGATTCCATGATAACACCACCCTTGTGTACTTGTCAGGAGCATTTGAAACAATACATGAGACACCCACAGACACAGTACTAGCAATGAATTCACTTTCCAAAACTACAAAATACTCACAGACATAATATGACATGACTAAAAATCAATAGACACCACAAGCAATAAGACTAACTCCTCCAGAATTTCAGGTAATAGAGTAATCTGAGAAAGTCTGTAACTTAAGCCTGTTTAAAGTAACTAAAGACATGCAATAAACAATTGACAGAAATGAAGAAAATAATAAGACACCCTAAAAATATAGAAACAGAGTAAAGAAATGTAAATATAAACACATAGACAATACAACTAAGAACTGTTGAATAGAGAAACAGTGAGTTGTAAATGAACATAACCAAAATATTCAGATGCAGCAGAGAGATGTATGACATCTGGAGGAGAGCTACGTCCCGCCAGGCGCTTCAGAAGCATTGAATACATAGGTTAGAGGAACTATTTGAAGAGATAGTAGCTGAAACCTTTTCAAAATTGAGCAAAGATGTGATCTTCAGATTAAAATAATAATAAAAGGCATTAAGCAGGATAAATAAGTCAAATCCACACTTGGATATATTGTGGTGAGAGCAAAGGCAAAGAGAAATATCTTAAAAGTAACCATATTTGGGGCCCTTCCTGGTGGTGCAGTGGGTTAAAGCACAGCACAAAGAAGCTTAAGCCGCTTCCCCATGAGTTCGATTCCCGCCTGCCCCAGAAGTGACCACATGGTGCAGCAGACCTCTCCTGACCCGCCTGCTGCTCCCCTCAGCAGTGTGCTTCGTTGATCTGCCTATTCTGCTCCCCACTCTGTCTCTGGTGAGGCCTCTCACTGCCCCTGAGCCTCTGGCCTGTACCCCAGTTCTGTATGCAGGAATAAATAAATCTTTTAAAAAAAAGTAACCATATTTGGTAGATAACCTTCTATTAAAACAATTGAAATGATAGCAAATTCCTATCAGCAGCCAATAAAGGTCATAAATTCCTGGAGTAATACTCTTTAATGCTCGAAGCATGAATATATAACAGCCTAATCTCTATAGTCAACTAGTTGACCATTCCAGAGTGAGGGAAAATGAATGTATTTCTATGTAAACAAAGAAAAGTAGGGTTTATGACACACAGACCTAAGCTTTAACAATCAATGAAGGGTATACATTTAAAAAATAATGAGCAAATCACCCAGAAAAGAGGAGTGGGATGTAAGAAGTAAAAATGAGCAAAAACACAAAGCAATACTAATGATGAGTATTATCAAGGCATGAGAAAATGTGGACCCAAACACTAAGAAACAATGTCTCCTTCGAGAAAGAAAATAAATGAGAGTTAGAACATAGTAAGTTTCTTGGTTCTAGTCCATTCCCCCAAACCTGAGAGTGGTGATATTAACTTTAGATTTTAAAAGCAAGTGAGCATTATTAAAGTTTTAAAAGTAATCATCGACATAGAAATATGTAGCTCTGATAAATACAGAAGTGTATATCTTCCAGCTACACCGTAGAGGGAATAAAGGCGGATCAAGACTCAATCCAATAGAAGGCAGGAAATGAGGAAAGAGAAATGAGAAATGCAGAAAAAGCAAGCCTAATAGCTAAACATAAATGAATATATAATCACAATAAATAGAACTAAATATATCAGTTAATGGTTAGATATTTTCATATTAAAGAAAATCCAGTTTAAGGCCCTCCCTGGTGGCGCAACAGGTTAAAGCACAGCACTAAAAAGCTAAAGCCACTTCAGCACGAATTCGATCCCTACCCCAGAGGTGACCCACATGGTGTAGCAGACCTCTCCTGACCTGCCTGCTGCTCCCCTCAGCAGTGTACTTCATCAATCTGCCTGCTCTGCTCCCCACTCTGTCTCGGGTGAATCCTCTCACTGCCCCTGCACCTCTGGCCTATACCCCAGTTCTGTATGCATAAATAAATAAATATTTAAAGAAAAAAATAGAAAATCCAGCTTAAATATGTGATGCAAATGGGTCAAGAATAAACAAGACAAAATAGAAACAAAGTACATATCAGTAGTAGGAAAGGAACTGCTCTAGCTATATTAATATCTATGAAATTGATTTTAAGGCACTCACTTTATTAGAAATAAAAATATATTAGAAAATTACAAAAGAAAAAATTAATCTAGACGATATATTGATAGTAATTCTGAACTTGTATAGATTTGACAACATATTCCCCAAATAAGGAAGTCAAACAAAGTTATTGGAGAAACTTAACAGATGCATAATTTTAATGGAAGATTTTAATACAACACTCAGTAGTTGATAAAGTAAATGGATCAAAATCTAGCATGGTTGCAAAAGACTTTAAGTACACAGTTAATAAGTTTGCTCTAATGGAAACATGTAGATTCCAGTGTCCAACTGGTGGAGAAGACACATTATTTTCAAGCCACAAAGCAAGACATAGCAAGCAAGCTCAAGTGAATCAACAACATAGTCAATTCTTTGATCACAGGTCAATAAAATTAGAAGAAAGTCATTATAACCTCATTTGCTATTGGAAAAAAAATAATTTTCAGAACAATAGGTGCCATTGACAAAATCCAGAAGAATTTACAATCCATTAAAACCAGCAAGTAAGTTTTATAAATGTACTGGATAAGAGATCAATACACAAAATAAATAAAGATGCCCAGCAAACATTTAGTTTAAAAACATGTATTGAATAATTTATAATAGCAGCTATAAGGTTATAAGGTGCCTAAAATAATTCTGGCTAAATAGCTTTCTGAAAAACAAAAATTTTGATTTATGGATATACCAGAATACACAAATAAATGGATAAACATAGTATGCTTATGAATGAGAAAACACTCAAATTCATTATGAAATAGAAATTTTCCAGGTTATCTTATAAATGGCACACAATTTCAGTCAAATTCCCAAAAGGCAGTATTTCACAGCTTGAGTTGTTGTTAAAATTCATGGCCATAAATAGTTAAGTATGGCAAGATAATTTGAACAATGAATATAGTATTAATGATAATCATAATATGGGCTTATTAATCTTACTTGGTATAAAGACATTGCAGATCTTTAAAAACTAAAACAGTGACATTGATGGAAAGATAAATATGTCAATGCAACAGACTAAGCAGCTTAGAAACACTCTAGAAAAGAAGCATTAAAATCAGAAGGAAACAGTGAAATAAATACTCTTTTACTAGTGTTCAAGCAATTGTCCAACCACATGAGAAAGATAAAATGA